AAATTAACGGTTGTTTTTTTATATCTCCGGTCAAGAAAACCGTTAGGATTTATAACAGTTTCACAATATTACTCTTTCCTTACCAGCTGACTGTTGTTTTGAACCTTAAATGACATCGCTTTATAACTGTTGAGACTATGTTGACAAAGACTTGATTCGCACTTCGGTTCCATACAAACAAACGACTCACATTTTGGATGTAGCATTTAGTTCTTTCGAAAGTTCTCGGTCGTTCATCCTACAGACGAAACCACGAATATGACAGTGAGTACTTGGAAAAAGTCTAAAAATTCATATTGAACCGTTAAATCTATACAGATAAGTTCTTTTCTGTGACCAACTTCTGGCGGAAGGCTAACACATCATTCAGGCGCTTTTTAATGAGTTGCCAAAGAGATCAGGCTAAACAGTACTTTAGATGGCGACAGGCGCAGTCGATGGCATTTGGTATTGGAAATCGAATGCTAATCCCTTTTCTCCGACGGAACCAGCAAAATGGTCGCGATTTTCCGATATTGAAAATGAAATAATTGAGGATGCCTTCCAACATAATGAAAAAGAAGTGTTGCTTGACAATCATTCTATTGACTTCAAGTTGAAATTACAAATAAACAAATCGGATAAGACAAGACAGCGGCCGATACTGCGTAAATCGGACGATCCTAATCAACAATTTGCACCACGCGAAACACGATTTAATATTGTTGATATGCCGGTGAAAACATTTACGGAAGCTGGTGGTTTCAGCAAGTTTTTGTGGGAATGGGCAAATAAGTATAACGACTCATGTTGTATTCTGACAGAACAAAACGCACCTGGAATTGTTGAACGAGCAGTTGAGGGAATAATTAAAGAAGGGGAAACGATAAGTAAAACTACTGAGTCTAAATGGATTGCTAAACAACTGTCGAAAGTGAAGAACAGAACCTTAGCCGATATTGGGAAATGTTGCATTGTGTATTATACAAAGGAAAGTTTCCTGTATCACGTCGTCAATGATGTTCTCAGACGAGAAAATTTGTCAAAACTCGAAACACTCGGCCCATATTGTTTTCTGTTGATCAATGCCCTTTGGAACTGTCGTGACAGTCGTCGACATACACAACGTGTTTATCGTGGATGTAAATTAGAACGCGACCAGATTGAACAGTATAAATCCGATATTGATAAAGTACGTTGTTGGTCAGCATTTTCGTCGACGACTAAACGAAGGGACATAGCAACTAGTTTCGGTGCGGAGAGTAACACGTTATTTATTATTGATCTTGTCGAACGACCGTTTACAGAATCATTTGGCTTGGATATTTCGGCTATGTCAAAATATCCACATGAAGAAGAAGTTCTATTGCCAGCCGGAATTAATTTTGTTGTTGAGAAAGTCGAACTTGATAAGAAGACTAATAAGTACACTATATATCTTACTATTTAAGTTAGAATTCGCTGATGGCGGACTTTATACTTTGGTTCTCTTGGTTTTTTCCTCACATATGCATGGGAGTAACACTGGCTGTCTGCGAGAATAAAGCAAGTGATCGGCAGAAGAAATCTTGATGGTTGATGATTTTAAGACATTCTGTAGCGCAATCAGTCTTTCTGTAGAGAAGAGAGACGTGGGGATCTCAGCAGAGGTTGCTTTGTGATATTTTCAACGTTAGCACTGCACTTAACTAGCATCAAGACCAAATCCTATAAGAAAACAAAAAATGGGAGCCATTTTGCTGTTGAGAGACGGAGAAAATGTTAATTTAAAAAAGAAAACAAATGAAAACCATTGTGAACGAGAGACCGAAACAGGTCGGGTCGAATCCGATCATCTCGGATCGGGTTTGGGTCAATGTAAATATGGGTTCGGGTCGGGTCGAGTCGGGCTTGGGTAAAAAATATTGGTTCGGGTCGGGTCAAAACTAAAAAGATTTCGGGTTTTATTTGGGTCTCGCCACTATAAAACAAATCAGAAGATTTTCGTTGATTACGATTCACTCTGCTATTTTCAAACATATGTCTTTTTTATCGAAAAGAGAAGCACAGTGTTTTTTCCTTTCTGCTATGACCCTGTGTAATGTAGGCATGCAATAATCTCTCACTAGGAATCGCTGATCGGCACCGAACGGTTTGTTACCGAACATGTTCGGTCACTGAACTACGATTTGGTGCATGCCTAGCGTAATGTACAGTCT